GAACCCACAATAAAACTTCCCACCAGGCTGAAAGGGGTCAGCAATATACTGGAACATTTTGAAAAAGGAGGGGGATGAAGGAGGGTGGAATGGACTAATAATCGCAAGTACTAATGCGAATCAAATCAGGGCCCGATCCTGTCTACACATATGACTGAGGGCCGGTCTACACTGAAAACTGACATCGGCAAAGCTGCATCTCTCAACGGTGTGAAAAATCCACACCCCTGAGAGTTCTAGCCATGCCAGGGGTGGCCAACCTGTGGCTCTTCATGAAGTTAATATGCGGCTCCTTGTATAGGCACCGACTCCGGGGCTGGAGCTACAGGTGCCAATTTTCTAATGTGCCGGGGGGGTGCTCACTGCTCAACCCCTGGTTTTGCCACAGGCCCTGCCTCTACTCCACCCCTTCCCGCCCCCTCCCCTGAGCCTGCCATGCCCTCACTCCTCCCCCTCCAGAACCTCCTGCACGCCACAAAACAGCTGATCGGGAGGTGCGGGGAGAGAGGGGGAGGCGCTGATTGGCAGGGCTGCCGGTGGGTGAGAGGTATTGGGAGTGGGTGCGGGAGCTGATGGGGGGCTGCTGACATATTACTGTGGCTCTTTGGCAATGTACATGGGTAAATTCTGGCTCCTTCTCAGGCTCAGGTTGGCCACCCCTGAGCTATGCCAACCTAACCCCCAGTATAGACAGCACGAGGTCGATAGAAGAATTCTTCTGTCGACCTAGCTACCACCTCCCAGGGAGGTGGATTAATGACAGGAATGAGAGAACCACTCCCGTCACTACAGTGAGTGTGTACACTGAAACACTGCAGCTGCGCCACTGTAGACGTAGCCAGAGGGTAACTTTACTCGTGTGAATAGTGCCACTGAATTCCATGGTACCACCCACATGGTCTGACTAACTCACAGACATAAGTGCTGACCGGATCAGGCCCTGCATGATTCACAAATGAACAAGGCTCATGCGCCATAAGGGATTCTATAGTCTTTTATTTTGACATGTGTGGGCTAGTCGAACCGATCAAAAATTTGATGTTGAACTTTTTCCCCCCCCACAAGGAAAATTATCTTTTTGACCACACAAATAAACAAAACAAAATTCAAACCAAAATTAGGTGTGTGTATTTTAAAAAAAAAAAAAAAAAATAGAAACAAACAGTTTTGAAATTTTGGGGGAAGGTTTTGTTTTGGTGGGGGGAAGAATACTCACTTTTTATACCCCGCCCTCCGTCATTCTAGTAGAAGGGCGGGGAAAAGGTGTTTTTGCCCTGCTGACAAAAGAAATTTTTAATTGTTGGGGTTTTTTTGTTGGTTTTTTTGTTTTTGTTTTTTAAAGTATTTGAAAATTTCAAAAAGCTTTGTTTCAAAACCTGAAAATACAAGAAATTTTCATTTAAAAAACTGACTGGAAATTTCAAATGAAATTAATTCTTTTCATTCCTTTCAAAAGATTTCACAAAATTTATTTCTCTTTCCCATAAGAACGGCCGTAATGGGTCAGACCAAAGGTCCATCTAGCCCAGTATCCTGTCTACCGACAGTGGCCGATGCCAGGTACCCCAGAGGGAGTGAACCTAACAGGTTGATCAAGTGATCTCTCTCCTGCCGTCCATCTCCACCCTCTGACAAACAGAGGCTAGGGACACCATTCCTTACCCATCCTGGCTAATAGCCATTAATGGACTTAACCACCATGAATTTATCCAGTTCTCTTTTAAACCCTGTTATAGTCCTAGCTCCCACCAGCTCCATTGATTAGGTTTATTCATTTAGGATACTTCCTAACTGAACTGCAACAGATCTTCTCCAAGAAACAAAAGATTACTCATGAGAGACACACACACACTCCTACAGCAGTGGTTTCCAAACTTTTTTTCTGGTGACCCAGTTGACAAAAATTGTTGATGCCCGTAACCCAACAGAGCTGGGGATGAGGGGCTCAAGGCTGGGGCAGAGGGTTGGGGTGCAGGGGTGAGGGCTGCGGGGTGGGGCCGGAATGAGGGGTTCATGTGGGAGGGGCTCTGGGCTGGGGGTTGGGATACAGGAGGGGGTCTGGGCTGGGGGTGCAGGCTCTGGGATGGGGCTGGGGATGAGGGGTTTGGGGTGTAGGAGGGGGCTCCAGGTTTGGGGGGGCTCTGGGCTGGGGCAGGGGGTTGGGATGCGGGGCTAGGGATGCAGGCTCTGGGGTGGGGCCAGGGATGAGGGGCTTGGGGTGCAGGATGGGACTCCGGGTTTGGGGCAGGCTCAGAGCTGGGGCAGGGGGTTGGGGCGTGGGGTTGGGACAGGGGCTTACCTCCGGCAGCTCCTGGTCAGCAGCGCAATGGGGGTGCTAAAGCAGGCTTCCCACCTGTCCTGGCACCGCAGACCACGCTGCGCCCTGGAAGCAGCCAGCAGCAGATCCGGCTCCTAGGCGGAGGTGCACAAGTGGCTCTCGCCTGCAGGCACCACCACCCCCAGCTCCTATTGGCCGGGAACTGGCCAATGGGAGTGTGGAGCCAGTGCTCGGGGCAGGGGGCAGTGCATGGAGCCCTGTGGCCCCCCCACCTAGGAGCCGGACCTGCTGCTGGCTGCTTCTGGGGCGCAGAGCGGCGTCAGAACAGTTAGGGACTAGCCTGCCTTAGCGGGGCAGCACTGCCGACGGGACTTTTAACGGCCCGGTCGGCAGTGCTGACCAGAGCCACTGCAACCCAGTCCTTCCATTCCACGACCCAGGACAGGGTCGCAACCCGCAGTTTGAAAACCACTGCCCTACAGCACTTGGCTGCTAACCACAAAACCCCTGACCCCTTCTCTGAAAATGCAGGGGGAAAGGGAGAGGCCAGGTGAGGTTGCTGCTGAGAACTTATTTGGGAGGAGCTGTACCACTGCAGCGCTAGCTCAAGGTATAACTTGAGCACTGCCCCTAACCTGACCCCCGTCCACACACACAAATCTCTAGCTTGGGTTAGGTGCTGCGTTAAACTTGAGGTAGCTGGCCTGTCACGGGGGTGGTGGGGAAGCTTGAGTGCTGCTGATGCTCAAGCGAGTAACGCAGAAGGAATGCAGCTGCTCCGTGTGGCTAATCCAACCCATCTGGGTTATTTTGCGGTAGGCCCGCCACCGTCGCTCAAGCTAGCTAACTTGACTGTAGACGACCACAAAGTAAGTTTGAGTCAAGACATCCCCTTAGACCACAATGACATCAGAGACAGGCAAACTGCTCAGAGGCAGGTTTTTTCAAACCTCTCCAATACTTTCCCTATACATGCACTTGATGGCTCATTCACACACACACACACACACACACCCCACACACACACCCTTTCTAAAATCCTAGAGGTAAGGAGGGCCTTGAATTTACAGTTTTCAGAGGTTGTTTTTCTGTTCATTTTTTAAACACACAGCCCTGGCTCTCACAGACCTTCTTCCCTACAGATGAAGTTCTGTAGCACGTCTACAAAACAGCAAAGATAAAAATGGGTGTCGTTTATGCTGAAAAACAGAGGCGAGGCACGAACCAATGCTTATTTTCATACTTTTTTCCAATATGTACCTTGTATTTGCATGCCGATTGTGCCAGGCTGCGGACCGAGACAACAGACCCATTACAACACTCAGCATTTACACCTCACATTGCAAACCACAGCAGTCACATTCAGCTAATCCCGCCGACCCCTGCACAGATGTCAGGGAGGCTGCTCTGTGCTTCTCAGTCAGGCGAACATCCTTGTGAGGTAGGGGAGGCGTCATTAGCCCCATTTTACAGCTAGGGAATGGCAGCACCAAAAGGCTAAGGACGACATTTTCAGAAGTGGCCTCCGATTTTGGGTGCCTCAGTATTAGGGTGTCCAGATCCAGGCACCTGGATTTTCATAGGTGCTGCATACCCACTGCTCCGACTGCCTTTCACTGGAGTCGTAGCCACTCAGCACTTGGGCACCCAAAAATTAAGGAACTCAAAGACAGCGGAGAAATCCAGGCCCAAGTGACTTTCCTAAAGATCACACACACCAATTCAGTGTAAGAGCAGAGAATCAAACACAAGAGTGTCTAGTTCCTACCCCTGTGATTAGACTATGTCAAGGGACCAGAAAGTCAGTTTCCATCATCTACCCTGTCCCAGAAAGTTACTTCATGCACACAGACCCCTGCACCGAGCCCAACTGACTACATCCTGTCTGCAGTGGAGAGACACTCACAGGAGCGGCTGGACCTGGCTTGCGGAGCAGCTTGTAGGATCGGGGCCACAGAAGTGCTATATAACTATATATATAATATATATAGCAGCTGGTCCTGCCCCTTCCACTCCCTGCCTGAACCAGCTGCCAGGGATAGGGGCCCAGGGTGCCGGCAGGAGGACAGAGCCCCTCTCTCTCCCAGCAGGGCAATCTGGGGGGGGCATTTGACCCTGCAAGCCCCCCCCCTTGGGTTGAAATCCTGGCCCCAGGGAAGTTAACAGCAGAACTCCCATTGTTTTCAGTGGGGCCAGAATGTCACCCCAAGTGCATACACAGAGGGATGGTGTCGCTCACCACAGAACTGCAGCCACTTCTGGGGGGCCACACAGCCACTGCAGGACAGCACACAACAAAAGCCACACAAACAGTAAGTGAAGAACACCCCCGAACCAAACGCCACAGAGGACCAGCCAGCTGCAGTTACTGCCTGGCAGGCAATGTTAACCATGAACATGATTTACTTTCTGAGCCACATAAACCCTGGCGCTCCGCTCTTGCTGTGCATCAGAGTTCTCCAAGATGACATGCATTAAAGCGGCTGCCCTGGAGCCAGAGCAGAAGCCAGCCTACTCCAGCTGAGGGAAGGCAGAAGGAAAGCAGGATCAGAAAAGCTGGGAGCTCCAGCCCAGGGAATTAAGCTTCTCCTTAGAGAGAAAAAGGCTCTTGGGAATCCAGAAAAGCCCAATTGGGGGCTGGCTTCATTCCAGCTCCTCTTTCCCCAGGCCAGCTGTTCCCCCCAACACCTCCCACCCAGCCCCAGCCGGCTCCCCCTCTCACCCAGAAGTTCCCCTTGAACAGAGTCTCCTTCATGGTGCAGGAAGAGCTCCAGCAGAGTCCCCCAGCGCCCCAGGCTGCACAGAGTCTGAGCCACCCCAGCCACACCGAGAGTTGATAACTTTTTAGTTCCTCCTCAATCCCTGCTGCCTGCCGCTGGCTCCTCTGGGTCCTAAACCCCAAAGCAAGCAACCAGCCACCCTGCTTTCTCCTCTCCTCTCCTCCCTGCCAAGCCAGCGATTATTTGCATGGGATTTCAGGACTTGCCTCCCTGCATTTCTGGGCTTGTTTCCTTTTTAGTGGCTCTTTTCTTGGGGAAGAAGGGCAAGGAATGGAGAGAGTCTGGGCTTTAGGAGTGAAGGGCTCAGCAAGTGCAAATAACCTGGCTGGATGTTTCCTCCCTAGGCTACTTAATGACTGCAGCAGATTACAAAATCATGGGTCAAGTCTCTGCCCCAAATCAGTGTGGCCTAGCGGAGTGAGCACTGGGCTGGGGTTTAGGGGACCAGGACTCTAATCCCAGCTGGACTGCAGGGTGACCTCGGGCAAGTGACTCTCTTTTTACCCACGAAAGCTTATGCCCAAATAAATCTGTTAGTCTTTAAGGTGCCACCAGACTCCTTGTTGTTTTTGTAGATACAGACTAACACAGCTACCCCCTGATACTTGACATCTCCGTGCCTCAGTTTCCCCATCTAAAAATGGAGATAATTAATGATACTGACCTCCTTTGTAAAGTGCTCTGAGAGCTACTGATGAAAATAGCTGTAAGAGCTAGGCAGTATGATTAATAATAATCATATGTTAAATTGCTAATGCATGTACAACCCTTTGCAGCTGTAAAGCATTATGAGGCAAAGAACATGGTCAAGAATGATGTGGGGTCAGATTTTTCAATTGCTCAGTGCCCGCGACTGGTTCTGGATGGGCCTTGGCCTTTCCAAGTTAATGATCTGTAACACACACAGTTATTTGCAGGGCTGAATCAAGGGGGTGAGGGTGAGGAGTAACTCAAGGGCAGAATGGAAATACCAAGAGAAAGAGGGGAAAACACCACCAGTAATCACTGCCCACTGGTAACCACCATCAAATAAATAATATATGGAGATATACCTATCTCATAGAACTAGAATGGACCAAAGGTTATTGAGTCCAGTCTGCTGCCTTCAGTAGTGGGACCAAGTACTGTCCCCGACAGATGATTTTTTTTTTTTTGCCCCTCAGATCCCTAAATGGCCCCCTCAAAGAGTGAACTCATAACCCTGGATTTAGTAGGCTAATGCTCAAACCACTGAGCTATCCCTCCCCCTCAGTACCAAAATAGCAAATAATCAGGGTTTCTTTAAAGAATCCCTGGGGTGTAGGCACAGTTTCATTGCATGTGTGCCAACAGGCAGAGGGCACCATTAGTTCAGTGCAACTGGCTGTACAGCATTCCCACAAGGTGTGAGTGAATTTCCCCTCCGATTAGATCATTAATGGATTCCAAGGCAGGAGGGTTCATTGTGATCATCTAGTCTGACCTCCAGTAGACCGGAAACCTCGCCCTAGGATTGCTCATCACCTCAGAAAATCAGACTCTTTAATGATGTCTCAAGTTGGACACCCAAAATTAGTGCCCACTTTTGAGCCTAAGGGAGGACAGAGCCCCTCTCAGTAGGGCAATCTCTGGGGGACCTTTGACCCTAGTGTCACACAGTGAGCTAGGAGCATTGCCAGGATGAGAACCCAAGCTTTATCCTACTAATCGCTAGACAGTGCTGCTTTCCCTGCATGCATCTGATTATTTTCCATAGAGCCAACGCCTTGCTTTAGTAATAAGCACTGCTGCCAGCAAGAACCTTCTGACGTGAACCTGCAGGTCCATTTACTGACATCTGACTAATCAAACACAGCCTAGAATTAGTCAGTTTCATGGCTGCTTTTCAGCCACTGGATAACCAAAACCTGCAGAAAATCAGCGTATCCTAGGGTAATATTTGCTGTCAGTCAGTTACTAATGCTTCTTCCCACAAAGAGGCAATAGAAGGTGCCAGATCTCATTCGGGTTAAGTTAACTTGGGCGATTGGCACCTGAGTTTTAACCTCGCCTGAGTCTGAGCAGCCATACTGCAAAGTCGTACTACCGGCATTACTGTGTCCTCACTGTTTCTGCACTCCCCCATGTGTTGCTGGAGGTTACAGCCCATGGTTCTTTGTGCTGAGACACTCCAGGAATCTTTCCCACTCAACAGTGAGAGAACTATTCAGAAGGCCCCATGGTAAGGCATTGGAGGACTATCAGCACTGAAGTGATTTACCCTACATCCACACTGCAAAGTGGGCAGGTTCCCGCCCAAGTTGAAGCAGAGCCTGGGTTCTAATCTATGCTCCCATAAAATCAGCCCAGGTTTAAAGCACCTCCCAATCCAGGTACACGGTTTTTGTGTGTGGATGGGAGGGTTGGGCTAAAGCCTGGGTAAGAGCCTGGGTTAACATTGCAATGTCGACGTGCAGCTGTCTACGTGGTTTATTACACACTGTAACTAAGAAGGTAAACCCAAATCACTCCACGGCGGGAGAGTGTTGTCCCCATGAGGAACGATCTAGAGGTAAAATGAGAATCTGCTGGAGGCCACGTCATTGTGTGCAAAGGCCCCATGTGGCTGCATTGGCTCCAGGGACCCTAGCCATTTCCAGCTTCCTGGCAACACTGTTCATGTCAACTACTTAATATGGCTGCATAGACTGTATTTACTTTTCAAAGGACAGCAGGTTAGTAGGGGCGATGATGCACATATCCCCAGCCCTGGAGGGTATACCACCAGCTCCCAGGATGGGGGAAGATTCTGCTATAAAGGCAGCTATCCATATTTTCCACGTGAGTAAGGGGTCCCCTCTGCATGGAATCATCCAGACCTTAGCTTGCAAAGTGTGTTGGGATCCTTCAGAATGAAAGCGTGTCAATATGCATCCTGTGTTGTTGTTGTGAGGTGCCATCTAAACCCAAGTAGAAAGCTTGGAGGAAATAGGCCCTTCTACTTGAAAACATCAAAGGATCATCTCTAGTCCTTTGCAGGACACAAAAGCAAGGAGTGTGAGCTGGAGCTGGGGACCCCATGCAAACTGAAACCACCAAGATTTCCCCAATGCTAGATGGACATCACACCATTCAGCCCCAAAATACCAAGGCTTCTATCTAGAAGAGGAGAGGGAGCTTGTAATTTCTTATGATTTCTGGGCCAGCCACTTGAAGATGACATAGTAGTCATAAATACTTGAGCAGCGCTTGCCATTCCATCCTGGAGAGGGCAACAGTAGCCTCAGCTGCCACCCGCTGGTAATAACGTGCATGAAGAGGCGGGAGCGGAGAACACCATGTGGAAGGAGGAATGAGCACTCCGGGTTGTTCATTACAGGCTTTAAGTAGCTACATAACAATTAGCAATGTCATTTGTTCATTAACATCCCACAAAAGCAGAAAGACCTGGCTGTTGCTTCAATGAATCCGCCCTGTCAAGTTACTAAGAATAACTCTGCTGTTGATGAGAAAAATAAAACCGGTTCCTGCTCTATGTCACATAACCCTGTGATTCAGAGCTGGAACAGGAAGCGGGGCTGTTGAGAATGATAATTAAATCCATTAGTCTCCCTTTCTATTCAGGGTAAAGATAAGGAAAGCTTTGGGTCAGGTCAGTCCTCCATGCATAGAGATTTGTCTGTTTTTAAATGTGACAATGGCAGGCACCAATCTGATTAATTCCTCCTAATGGGGTTTCTTTCTCCTCTGATACAGATTGAGTGTCTGCAGCATCCTTAGAGAAGGGATATATGTACAGTTTAACATGCCGATGTATGATTGGCCTCTTTGAGAGAACAAAAGGCTGCCCACCATGAAGTATGTTTGAAGAGATAACGTTCCATGCTCAGTAATAACAGCATGAAAACTATTAACTCATGAGGTTCCCTAATTCCTGTCCCAAGAGCGATGGAATAATGACTCTCCACGTATGTTGTCTCAAGCTTTGGGGGTGTACAATGAAAGAGCACTTGCACCCATCCAAGAATCTACTGGTGCTCTGGGAGCATTCATGGACTTAGCCTCACTGCTTGCAGAGTTTGCAGAGCCAGCCTTAGGCCCACAGAACAATTTTTCACACAGATTGACAAAGCCAATGGTTCTTGGGAACCATGATCACAGGCAGAGCTCCCTCTGCTGCCAGGAGGAGGAGAACCTGAAATAGATTTCTGTACTTATCATGTCCAGAGAAGCCTTTAGGGCTTCTCAAAACTTAACTGACGTATTGTTTATCAAACGGGGTAGAAACACCCTTCCTGGCACGGATAGTTTTGTGCTTAAGGCACTGGCCTGGGACTCAGGAGACCTAGATTCAGTTCCCTGTTCAGCCACAGACATCCTGTGTGACCTTGGGCTCGTCACTTAGTCTCTCAGTGTAAAATGGAGATAACAATATTATTACTGAGTTATGTTACCATAGCGCCTAGGAGCCCCTGGCATGGATCAGAGCCCCATTGTGCTAGACGCTGTACAAACACACAACAGAAGGATGGTTCCTGCCCCAAAGAGCTTACAGTCTAAGTACTTCCTTTCTCCCAGTCCAGTTGTCTTATCTATGCATATTGTAAGCTTGCCAGGGTGGGGTCTGCCTCTCTCTATGCGCATGTACAGTGCTGGGCACAATGGGGTCCTGATCTCAATTGCCATCTTTAGGCACCACCATAAAACAATAATAATCATCATCAGCTTCCGAGCCTACGTGGAGCCTAGCTACAAGCTGGGGACGGCCCATCATTGCCAGCTCTCAGAAAGGTTAGTTGAGGGACTGTCCTCCAAATGAACTGAGGCTGTGGGGCTGCTAGGTACCGGAGAATGTGGACGCATTCTGGTGAATTTGAGCATATATATGACTAGAGTTATACAATCATTAGCTAGTTAATTGTCACAGGCAGATAAAGTAAGTATCCATGTCACAGGTTTAAATATGGGGAAACTGAGGCAAAGATGCTAAGTGACTTGACTAAAGCCACAGAGGGAGTCAGTGATTGAGCTGAGATTAGCCCATTGTTGTCCTTTGCTCTCAGTAGCTTACAGGGGATCTACA